TTACAATTACGAGATTTGTTTTACCCATTCATTCGTTTCTTCTCATACTTTCAACCCCCCCCCCCTCTACCACTCCTTTTTTTTGAAGACTGACGATGCATCCATTAAAAGTGTACAAAAAACAGCTGAGGACACCATTTTGATTACCTATAATCATTATAAAAATATTTTAAGTCCGAAGCGAACTTTCTTAAAGAATCGCCTGATCATCGAATAAAGGATATCAATATAATAGCAGTTTTTTTTTAAATATGAGAATAATTACCATATGGATTAACAAAATGGCGGGTCCAGCTGATTTGCATACAAGGACGCTTTCGAGTACATTATTATGAACACATCGCCAGTCTAGGTATTAACTACCTGTCATGGGACCAATGAGAAAATGGGATCTTTTTGTTATTCTAGTTGTAATTTCAAAAGCTTGGCCTGGTAATATAATGTAGTAATTTAGTATTGTAAAAATGAACCCTAATTAAGATTTTGTACAAAATATTATCCTGTTAAAGCCTAGAGATTTTTTGGCTGAATAGATGGCACAGAAAAGGGTTGGAACGATCTCTATTCGCCGAATTCTCTGAGTGAAATCTGAAATCGAGCCGTCAATCCAAATCAAAGCCGTCAACACTTAAAATAAAGTCTATTTTCATACATTTCTTAACACATTATACAATCATTTTTGTTTTTATTTTTTATTTTAAAAATATAATGGAAATTTTGTTGATTGAAAAATTTTAAATTTTTTTTTGTTAATTGCTGTCATCATTTTGAAATCCGACACCCGACAATAATAAATTGATTTAAATTTTCTGCGAGAAAAAATAAAAACACATAAAAATTTTCGACGAAAAATGATATTCTTTTTCGATTTTTTTTAAAAATTTACAAATCCTTGTAATTCTTATTTTTTCCGATTAAAAGAAAGGAGAAGCGGAAAATATCAGAAATTTTTTTTTTACTTTCTTATAGAAAACGTATAAATCCCACTTTATTAATATAATATTCCTTCGATGGAATTCATTTGTAAGAGTAAGGATAAGGATTTAAAATCTTCCGGAAGCATTGAAAATTTTTTTTTGATACAATTTAACTTGAATGACCCCTCACCGCAGATTAATATCGCGAACGGGTTTTGTAGCTGCCAGAGCGGGCGTTTTATTTTTTTAAAAAGTTGTAAAAATTATTATTGAAATCGTTTCAAGATATTTGTTTCTGTATATAGATTTGTATAATATAGTGGCAAAAAATAAGTTTTATAATTTATCGCAAGGTTTTAAAATGATTTTTTTTCCAAGTAATTTTGTCAAAATTCCCGATTCGGGAAATGACTAAACCTAAAGATTTTTTCGGCATAGCTGGACAGAAAATGTTTGGGACATCTTATTCGCCAATTCTCATTTATTGCTTCACGTTACTATCGTTACAGCTAAAAATCCTAAACCTCGCTTTTTAACATCACTATTTCCCCGAGGATAAAACAAAAATAATACGATGTATAATAAACATTTATAAATGTATAATAATAATAATTAATAAAGTTATTTATATATAAAAGCTAAATATTGATGAGTTTTAAAAAATTATTCTATTTATTATACATAATTTTTTTTAAATAATAGAAGGTATTATATATAAACGTTTTCGAAAATTATCCAACATTAAGCAATAAAATGTTGAATAGCCCTTCCCATTTCATTAATAATTTAAAAGGGTTGTTATAATTGGACTCACAATTATTATATTATATTATTATTTAGTAAAAAGGCGAAATTTTTAATGGGTTTTTTTTTAATATACTCAGGTTACCTATCATAAATAATCTTGATTTTCGTGAAAACAATTATAAATTGATGATATTACTGGAAATGGGTGATTAGGCATAATTCATGACTTCCTAGTGGATAACTATCTTTTGAGTAGTGTTTACCCCCCAAATGGAGAGAACTTTAGGTTCCTTTCTACAACCCCGATAGTCATTAGAAAATTATTAAATTAAAACTCATTTTTTTTCTTTCTATAATGACAATATTTTATACTAAGTATTTTTTGGGAGCGAAAGGTGAGTGGGAAGAGTTCGGGAGGGATAATTTTTCTTTTAAAAAATTTTAACTAAAAAACTTGGAAATTTGTCGAGGGTTCTTCATGCCCCTGTGCCCTTTCCTCCCGGGAAACACTTTATGCTCATGGTAAAGGTACGATACCAAATAATGTTTTGTCTTCACTAGTAGTGTTGTTAAACGGCTCGTTTTTATCCGATTTTTAAAAGCGGTTAACACAATATTTTAGCCGGAAAAAAGCCTCGAGATTTCTCTAATAGGTGTCTAGACCTTTGTGCCACGTATGAGCCAACTTCTTCAGGCTTGCGCAATATTATTCTAGATAAAATATAGAGTTATCCGTTTTTAAAAAATCGAATCGAATAGAGCCGTTCAACAACACTATTCGCCGGATTTCCTAATTTTCGCTGAGATCATAATTTTATCGAAAGCAGGCTGTATTACTTATATTATAGCTTCATTAAGTAATATTTTTTTTCCCATATTAGCAAAATAAGATATAGATACAGATCCCATATCCTATAATATTCTAGTGACCGATTTATATTTAAATGCAATTTTTAAAAAAGTCGACATAGAACCCTATAATACTCAGTTTAAAATCTTATATAGTATATTACTAAAAAAAAAATTTTAATCAAGGGAACCTGTTTTTTATTTATTTATTTATTTACCATGTGATAGTTTAAAAAAAAACCAATATTAAATTTAATATAATATTAGTTAACGATCACCTTTCCTGAATTCACAGTTGTGGTTAGGAAAATTGGCTCCATCCCCTTCATTAGGATAGACTAGAAAGAGCTATAGACCCATGTTCCCTTAGACCTGTAGATCTAAACGAAGTTAATGGCACATCTTAATGTGGTTAGCTTTTATCTGCTTCATTTCTACGTTTGGTAACTTCTAACAAGTGGTACTATTTTTTTCCTAGAAAATAAAATGGGTGAAAAATTTAGCGCTCTTTCATTAGAACACTGAATTAGAATAGAATAAATCACTCACCAATCCATCTTGGAAGAAGAAAAAAATTAATGTAATTAATTAGTTTTTATTTTTGTAATTATTTTTTCTCCTTAGTCTATTAAAATAAATCTTTCTTTTTTTTTCTCACACAGATATTTCATATTTCTAATTAAAGTTTTTTTTTTAATATCATAGTTTTTGTTATAATTCCATATGCATACTATTCTTAATTCCATTTCCCAAACATATCGTTTTATTGGTAAAAAATTTACTCAAACAACTAAAATTGATATTTATTATGAATTGAGAGACATTATAATTAACTGGGAATTGATTAGAATACCTTATTATATTTAATCATCAATTCCTGAACAACTTCTTTAGGGTATAAAGGTTGAAGGTAATTCTTCAGCCTGACAGAGATTTTTTTTTTCCTGGAGGCAAAACCCTAGAATAACCCTTTGTGGCTCGGTTTGAGCCGATTTTTAAAAAACGGCCGACTCAATACTTCATCCAGAAAAATATTACCCAAGCCTGAAGATTTTGCTCATAGAAGGAACAAAGGTCTAGCCCTATATTATCGAAATCTTGAGGCTTAAGCAATATTTTTCTGGCTAAAATATTGAGTTTAGCCGTTTAGCAACACTACCCTTTACGCCTTCTCTAGTCCATTCAGTTCTATTAGACTCGACATCCCTAGAAAGCTACAACCCTAACTTACATATATATATATATTCATGTCCTCTCCGTCTCCTCATTCCATTCATATTACAACTTAGGCACTTGATTGATTTATTTATATAACAATTTTTTTTTTTTTGCTTGAAATTAAAATCAGATTTTCACAAATTTATGTCTTATGTCTCTTTTTTTTATCTCTTTATTCATTCACCAAAAAACAAAACACTGTATTTATTGACTGTCACATTAATATAAATTAATAATAATATATATATATATATATATATACAACAATATGCATATTTATTACATAATATTATAATATCTTTTTAATAGGACAAGCAAAAAAGAGATATGTCAATTTGTCGTTTATTTTTTTTTTTGTATTTTTTCGCGTGATAAAATTTGTATTTAAATTTTTTTATCCCCATTTTATTTTTTCGAATAATATTTTATGGAAAAATATAAAAAGGAAGAAGAATGTTTGAATGGAAGCTGATGAGGGAACGTTTCATGATAAAAAAAAAATCCAAAAATTATTTTAAAAAATTTGAAGGATTTCTATTTTTTTTAAAAACGAAAGGGAAATTAACAGGCATTAGTTTTTGTGGTTTTCAAATTATCGATAAAATTGAGAAGAATGGAGATAAATCACTTTCGTACGGATTAAAAAACCTACTTAACCCCAGGGTCTTTGTGGTTTAGGCTGGATGATTAAATTTCCAGAAAGAACTCTGTTCAGGTTCCAGGGTCTCCTACCTAACACGAGGAAATGGGCACAATATGCGCCTTTAAAATTTCTAGGCGATAGCTCGGGGGGGGGGAATGCCCTATTAGTTAAGATAAACAGTTAGTGCCCATTCTATTGATCAGTTTTATATTTTATTCATCAGGAGAGCCTATAGCTTTCATTAGTTTAGGTAAGATCGAGGTTTTCCGCAAGACCGAGAAATAAAACGGACCAGCTTATAGACCAACCCTTACCCTCCTCTGGTTTATATGGCAGTGTAAACTATTTTGAAAGAAAATCTGTTATCGGGTAATTAACCCCATTTAATGTTCAAAATTTTTCTGATGAATGTAAAATTGCGAGATTGGGGAAAAAAAATAGTTAATTCTAGAAATGGCCCAGATGAGAGTGTTGGGATATTTTTACTTATTAGTAGAAAACAGCTGATTTGACATACTAAAATATAGCTTAGCGAAAGAATAATATAATCAAATACGGGAATATTTTAAATATTTATTTTTGACTTTCTCCCTCCACACTCCTACGCCCATTTAAAAAAAAATAAGGTGTGTATAATATGCGGTATAACGGGTCAGCTGACGCCCCAGAGGAACGGGAAGAAATATTAGCCGTCACCTACAAAGACGGCCATTGGAGCAAACCATATTTCGATTGCGGAGGCGGAAACATTTGGATGATGACGTATACCATACCATTCTTCGGCTTCAAAAACGGGAGCTTTTATTTCAAGTATTCTTACTCATAACATTAAATTAGGGGCAAAGTTATCATTGGTAGGGTTAATTAGGATTGGTTAAAAATTTTATTTTAGGACTTTTTAGGAAATTAAAATTAGAGGAAAGCGGGTATTTATGCTTAACCGTAGTTATCTATATAACAATTATTATTATGAAATACAATAAAAAAATGAAAGTATATAGCTATCAATATCTGTCACTTTCTAAAAATTCTAAGAAAAGTGGAACTTACCCTAGGTTGATTTTTTAAAAACGCGAGTAAGGTTATAACCAAAATAGTATTGTGCAATAATTGCGAACAAAATGAGCGTTTCAGACACTGCGTTGCGAGCGCAAATAATGCATTTTCAAAATGGCCCTCGTGCAAATCGGTAAAATTTACCGTTTGGCATTAGCGACCATTTTAAAAATATGCAAAATAGGTCTGCTTTTATTCTTCATTTTGTAAATATTGTATAATAAATATAAATAACTTACTTATATAAACCTTAAAAAAAAAGGAAAATATTTAGAAATTAAAAAAGAAATAATAAAGCAGACGATAAATAAATTTTCCAAAAGATAAATCCTTTTCTTTTTTTTTAGAAAACTTATTTAAAATTTATTAATCCATGAATATTAATAATAATAATAAAAAAAAAACAACCTCAATTTAAACAAAGGGACGCGTTACGTTTTTTTTTTAAATTGAAAAATATACGGCAAAACGCATAAACGCTCAATTCGTGCGCACTTATAAGTCTAGCGATTTTGATCATATAGCAGAAAGATTAGGCGCTATTGGTTAAAATCTTAATCGGGCGGATTTTAAAAAAACCGACCCAAATTGGTCTTTTTAACCACCCTAGACTTAACCACAAAGTTTCAATCTTAATACAAAAGTAGGTAGCTCAGACTTTATTTTTTTTTTTACAAATCCACAATTTATTATTTTAAATGGTTAAAAACAAAACTAAAAAATTAGAACGCTTAAAAATAAAAACTTAATTTATTCTTTTAAATTATATATAAAGGGGAAACCTTATCGTATTATAAGAAACTTTTAGCGCTTTAACTAAACTTCTAATACCAAAAAAAGGCGTTCCAAAGGGAGTTAAATGTAGTGAAGGGACTCGTAAATCTTTTTCTACAGATAAATATTCTGGTTTCTCTTAGATCTCCGAAATCAAGATATTACCATCATATTCTCTTTCTTTTCTTTCCTTTGAAAGTAATAAAATAAATGAAAGGTTTTTATATTAAAAAACTGTAAAAAAATATCATTTTCTTTTCTTGGTCAGATTTTTATATATATATCTAATACGATACTAATATTATAAAGGACAAATATATTTAACGAAAAAAATAGAAGAATTTCTTCCCAATAATCAATCAATAAATTTATTACGAAAATATAATTTTTTTTATAATCGAAAAAAAAATAGAAAAATTAATAGAAAAAATTTTTTTTTTCCCCTATTCTTTTTTAGATATTTAATGATTTATAATTCTATTTTATTCCTTTTGTCTTTTGTATTTTTTAAATATTTAACCAAAAAAAATCCTTTGGTGAATTTCTGTGTAGAGATGAATTATGAATTATGACTCGAAGTAAACCTAAAAAATTTTGGCCAAAATAATTTTTAAATGAATTTTATCAAATTTTTGATATTAGAAATGAAAATTTAAAAATAAAAAAAATGGCTAACATGTAAAGAGGCACAAGTGGAATAGATATAGATTTGAGAAAAGTCGATATAGATCAATGCCCTACAAGCGGAAACGATACTACCGTAAATGTATTCGCCGATTCCGATAAATGCCAAAATCGATCCACTGTTGTAAGTATCTTCAAATTCTTTTGATTATATTTCTCTTCTTCTCTTCTCTTCTCTTCTCTTCTCTTCTTCTCTTCTCTTCTCTTCTCTTCTCTTCTCTTCTCTTCTCTTCTCTTCTCTTCTCTTCTCTTCTCTTCTCTTCTCTTCTCTTCTCTTCTCTTCTCTTCTCTTCTCTTCTCTTCTCTTCTCTTCTCTCTCTTCTCTTCTCTTTCTTCTCTTCTCTTCTCTTCTCTTCTCTTCTCTTCTCTTCTCTTCTCTTCTCTTCTCTATTTTCTCCCCATCTTTCTCTTTCTTTTTCTCTCGTTTCTTTTTTAATTTATTTTATTTTATTTTTCTTTGTTTTCCTGACTTCAAAAATAAAAAATCTAACAATTACAAAATATTATATTTTATGAAAAGTGTATTCCGGTAGAGGGCCAAGGATTCAGGAGAGGTTCTTACAGATGCGTTTGCAAGAAAGGATTTTATTTCCCTTTCAAGGAGAGCCCAGAAAAATATTTCTTGGGAACTGATATGGAAGATGAATTCGATAAATATATAAAAGTATACACTCACATCACATAATTTAGAAAATCCTTTTTTTTAAGATAATGTCCTAGAGAAAAATATCGGAACAAAAATACCCATTGACAAAATAACTGTAAAATCCTATGTTAAAAGGAAAAACATTAAGCGCAAGATGGAAATTTTTTAATATTAGCCTATTTTTTTCTAAAATTAAAAAAAAATACTTATATATATGTTAGCGGTAGTGTTTTTAAACGGCCGGTTTTGAGCCGATTCTTAAAAGCCGCTAACTCAATATTTTGGTCAGAAAAATATCGCCCTAATTTTCTAGATTTCGCTAATAGATGTCTAGACCTTTGTGCCATCTATAAGCAAAATCTTCAGAAGCTTGCGTTATATTTTTTCTGGATGAAACATTGAGTTAGCCCTTTTTAAAAATCGGGTGAGACGTTTAACAATACTTTATTTTTCTCAAATTTTGATTTTAAAAATCCAATTTAACCGGAAATGCGTACCATGTTTGGAATGCTTACCCCCCCCCCCCTAAATTTTAGAAATTTTTCCATGAACTTTTGAATTTAATATAATTTTAAATTCACTTATTCATAGATTTTCTATGTATAAATGAGTTATCAATGATCCTAAAGTTATCTGCAAATTTGCCTAAAATTTAATTAGATAGGTATTCTAAACATGCTGAAATGCATGTCCGATAACATTTTTAAATTTGCCATTGACACTAACATATTTATTAGATAAGAATTAAAAAGTAGGAATTGTATAGTTACTCTCATTGTTTTAATAGAATGGTCCAAACAAATATCAAGAGATGATATGTTTACCATGCCCTAAGGACTGCGAAGAATGTGTCGACTTTAGGCCATGCTCTGTCACCACCAATAAAATTTTAAGGATAATCATTCTATGCCTTCAATGCATGATAATGTGCGTAGTGCCGGCATTGGCTTGGTTCACTTGGGCTTATAGAGATATTAAAGTTTTCTTTCTTTTTTTAAAAATCTTTATTTGCTTTCTTTCTAAATTTTCATTTTATTTTATTTTTTTTCCTTTATTTCTAATTCATTTATTCATTACATTTATTTGATTCATTTATTCATTTATTCATTCATTCATTTTATTTTTTTTATCATTTCATTCATTTATTCATTCATTCATTGATTTATTTAAACATTCATTAATTTATTCCATCATTTATTCAACATTCATTCATTCCATTTATTCATTCACTCATTTATTAATATATTTATTAATTTCATTCATTTATTTACACATTTATTCATTAACACATACATTTATTCATTCATTCATTCACTCACGGAATCATTCATTCATTAATTTATTCATTTCCAAGATTTTTAGTCACACATTCATTCACTCACACATTCATTCATTCACACATTCATTCACTCACACATTCATTCATCCACACATTCATTCATTGTTTCATTCTATTTATTCATTCCGTTTATTTATTAATTCATTCATTGTAGTATATTATAAATACAATTTTTAGATAGTCAAAGCTTCAAGTCCGGTGCTTCTATATATATTCCTAGCAGGAGCGCTATTCTTATATTTGCCAGTAATTTAATTTTCAAAAAATATAAATAATAATTACACAAAATAAATAATAAATAGAATTATGAATAAATAGACAATCATAACATAGATAGTATATATTATATATATATATAAATAGGTTATAGTTACCTTTCCAGATCCGTCTACAGTAACATGTACTATGAAACTTTGGTTCAGGGAAATAGGATTCTCGATAGCTTACGGTGCTATCCTATTCAAAACCTGGAGGTAAGAAAATTCCTTTTTTTTTGCTTTCATTCTTTCTTTCTCTTTCTCTTTCTCTTTCTCTTTCTCTTTCTCTTTCTCTTTCTCTTTCTCTTTCTCTTTCTCTTTCTCTTTCTCTTTCTTTTCTTTTCTTTTCTTTTCTTTCCTTTTCTTTTCTTTATAAAATATTTCCTTACTCATACGACTATATTAAAAAAAATTTTGAGTTATATATCATTTCTTATTTTCATATTGCAAAATTTCCCTTTTAAAAATATCATAAGGCGCCCGACCCTCGTTTGTTATAATATTTTAATTAGTTGCTGTCAGACGTTACTTCGAATAAGTAACGCGTTACTCGTCACCTCGTGAAAATAAAAACGCGTTAATGCTTCCCTCGTTACTTTAAAAAAAACATTAAACATTGTTATAATAAATTTTATTTTTTAACAATTTTTTTCCCCATAGATAATTAAATATTTCAGATTAAATAAACAAGAGCTTATACACCGCTTTAATTTAACTGCGCTAAGCACACCTTCAACTTGCGCTAGAAGATGGGAAAAGTTGTATTATATTTAATAATTAATAAAAAAAAATTAAATTTGGAGTTAAAAATATTTAGAAGATTGATCTTTATTTTCAAAAAAAAAAGTCTTCAAAGATCTTCATTCAAATCTTTCAAAATTTATTCTCAAATTATATTTTTATTCTTCACATATTATTTTTTTTAGATGAGTTTATTGATGAAGAAACCAAATGAACAGTTAAAAAAAAATAGATTAACAATTTTGACTGCAAGTGTTATAAAATTCAACACTAAAAATATCGTAAATTAAATTAACATTAAATGAAAGAACTTTGGTGGTTGATCTGTAATTAAAAACCCTGCTTAAATATATGTTTTAAAAAAAAATATCCTAAAAATTAATTGACCAAAATCTTCCATAAATTTTTGTTAAAAAAAGGTTTTGTAAATTAAAATTTTGAAATTCCTTATCAAATAATTATTTCTCATTTAAAAGGTGTCTATTATGCTATATTCGAAAATGTGTAAATTTACTTCTTTTTTTTTAAATATACAAACTTTGAAAAATAGATAGGGGAAAGAATTCACAAAATTTAGCCATATTTGCATTTAAAAAAAATAATTACAGGATTGCTAGAGTATTTAGAGTTAGGTCTGCAGCCAAGATCAAGATAACGGATATGGATTTAATCAAGAGGATGGGAATCATAGTAGCCACCTTCCTGGTTTTGGTTATAGCTCGAACAAGCGTATCGCCGGCTAATGTTACCACGATATACAACAAGGAACACTTAAAAGCCTACCTTTGCGTAACGGATTGGTGGGATTACTCTATCGCTTTAAGTTTTCTTAATCGTATTTTCCGTTAATATTTATAGCTCCCATATTTTTAAAATGACCCACACTTTAAGTTTGAAAAATTAAACTATAGTTTAAAAAAAAAATTACTAATTATGTTGTAGTCGTTTAGAAAATTCAGAACTATTCTTCATTGACACTAGTGTTGTCAAACGGTTTGATTTGAGTCTTAAAAACGGCTAACTCAATATTTTATCCAGAATAATATTATTTAAGCCTGAAGATTTTGGTCATAGATGGCACAAAGGCTTGGACATCTATTCGCCAAATCTCGAGGCTTATAGTCAATATTATCCGACTAATGAGTTAGCCGTTTTTAAAACCAGCTCAAATCGATCCGTTTAACAACACTATATGAACTCTGTTTTTTCAGCAAATATTTAGAAACTCATATCATTTATAGCGCGCGAATTCTTTTCTAAAGACCTAATAGTAAATGAATACAACATATGTGTAAATTTTTTAGATAATTTTATAACCTTTTTTGAATATACGTGAAATATTTAAATTTTCTTTCTGAAAAGCCGAACTAGCACTCTTACTTTGGGGCATCAAACTCAGCTTCGACGTTCGCAAGGCCCCCTCCGAATTCAACGAAAGCAAATTTATATCGATGGCCATTTACAACGAATTTTTGCTTTCACTGTTCCTCAATATATCCCTGTTAAATTTTTTTTATAATTATTCGAATTTGATACGGGTTTAGAAGAAAAAAAATAAAAATTTTCAACATCTTCCATTATATTAAAATAAGGATTAACTTCTGACCGGAATTGCTTCCCATTTTATATTTTGTTGAGGTCTGAGCACCTCAACTTCTTTCTTTCTTTCTTTCTTTCTTTCTTTCTTTCTTTCTTTCTTTCTTTCTTTCTTTCTTTCTTTCTTTCTTTCTTTCTTTCTTTCTTTCTTTCTTTCATTCTTTCTTTCTTTCTTTCTTTCTTTCTTTCTTTCTTTCTTTCTTTCTTTCTTTCTTTCTTTCTTTCTTTCTTTCTTTCTTTCTTTCTTTCTTTCTTTCTTTCTTTCTTTCTTTCTTTCTTTCTTTCTTTCTTTCTTTCTTTCTTTCTTTCTTTCTTTCTTTCTTTCTTTCTTTCTTTCTTTCTTTCTTTCTTTCTTTCTTTCTTTCTTTCTTTCTTTCTTTCTTTCTTTCTTTCTTTCTTCCTTCCTTTCTGAAGGTTTGTTAAAAGAGATGTGGAACAATATAATATTAAATTTATATAGATCTTTTTTTTATTCATAATTTTATTTTACAAATTATAAAGATTCTTCCTTCAAACATATGGTGATCCGGACCTATTGTACATAATATTATTTATCCACTGTCAATTAACAACGACATCTTTACTAGGATTGATATTCGGAAATAAAGTAAAACAATATTCATATATTGTATAATTATGCTTATAATAAATATTAATATGCCTATCAAATTTTGATTCGGACAGATAAGTATATATAGTAATAAATACGAATATGATTAATTTTAGTATTATTCTACTTTACAAATATCTTACAAAAAAATAATTAAATTTCTTACATTTTGGCTTTTATGCAATTGTATCGGGATACTAAAGGTCCCTGAATTCTTTGCCGCATTACTCCCGTGCTAAAAAAGTGTTTCTCTTTGTTCCTCTTAGAGTCTAAGTTTATTCTGTTTTATAGTAAACCAATGTGTTTAAAAATTGTGCCCATTTTTATTATCTCACATTAAATAGACACTGAGGAAAATATCGTATTATTTTCTTCAATTGATTTGGTATAATAGTTTTATCCATCTTAAAACACCATTGTTCGTGTAAATATTTACGCAACGTTGAGGGTTGTGGATTAAAGAAAACGGATTATGTTTTGTGCAAGTTTCAGTTTTTTTCCACTATCAAACTTTCCTGAAAAATTGCGACAGAATTCCTGTAATAATTAAATAGATCTTTGAAATGGCTCATATGAGCTTTCCATATTACTAAGTTTTCTTTGGAAAACAAATTTTAATTAACTAAATTCTTCTTTGAATATTTATTGATATAGTTGTTAATATTTAACAAAATAATTATATTTATCACTAAAAGAATACGGGTTAAAAACACAAATATTTCGTGATTTTTTTATGCTTAACAAATTATAAATCGTGAATAGTGTTGGGAAACTCCCAATTCAGTCAAACTATAAAACAGCATAGCTATATTTTTATCCAAAAAAACTCAGCTTAGAAGCTTAATTCAATTTTTCAGGCTAAAGGCTTGACTAGGTGATACGTCTTTTATGTTTTCCATGCCAAATAATGTCATCAGCTGATTTCTATTTAACTAAGTTTCAAATAATGTCATCAGTTGATTTCTAGTTAACGTTCAAATAGTATTATCAGCTGATTTCTATTTAACGACCTTTTAAATAGTGTCATCAACTGATTTCTATTTAACGAAATTTCAATATAGTGTCATCAGCTGATTACTATTTAACAAAGTTTGAAAATAGTGTCATCAGCTGATTTTTATTTAACGAAGTTTAAAAATAGTGTCATCAGCTGATTTTTATTTAAACGACGTTTCAAATAGTCTCATCAACTGATTTCTATTTAACGAAGTTTCAAAATAGTGTCATCAGCTGATATCTATTTACCGGCCTCAAAAATTCGTTTTTTTTATTACGAAGATTAAAATGAAATGATCAGTTTAAGAAAATGTATTATTCGTCGCCTTAAAATACTGATCAATAAACACAAAATTTAATTTATTATTTATTAATTTTTTTTAAAACCAAAAAAAAACAACAGATTTACTCGATATACAAGGGTTTGGGAAACAAAGCCGGAGGAACTATCGATCAGGCAATTAAGAACAAGTTCTTCAAAGGCAAAGTTGGTGGAACCGAAAATAAGAGCCAAGCGGCATCCTTATTGTCTCAAAGCGGTGATACAAGTTACGCTAACATCAAGGACCAGGATACGGCGGTACGTCGAGTGTCAAAAATCATTTATGTTTCTACTTCATGCTGACAATCGAATAATTTTAACGGAATTATATAAAAGGGGGAGAGGGAAATTGGGGGGGGGGGGTTATTTATGAATTATGATTAAAACCGTTCATAACGTGTCAATCAAAAAAAATATAAGAAGATGCTATCAAGGTCTTGAGTTTTTTAAAAGGATAAAATTATGAATTAAGTAGGTGTTAAAGCTTCTTCGGTTTAAACTGTTAATGGCCGCCTTTAATAAACATTTAAACCTAATTAAGGTCAGTTAGATCTTTAACTTTTTTTGGGTTATAACCCACCAAGTCATATGATCTTCGATATTATTTATAGTACTATTCAATTCAGATTGATTGAATGGAGATACATAATTTAATCCCAAGCTTTATATCAAGTGCCCATTACTCATTAGTCCTTCACATGTAGACTGAACTATTATTTTTATTATAACTTCATTGATAACAAAGAAAAATTGATAAATAGTTGGCCGGTAAATGTATAAATTGTTTCTAATATTTCTGGCAAAATAATAAATTATTTTAATAAAAAAAAATGTTATTACGTCAAACTTTTAAAGGCTGAACTGAAACGATTATACGCGCTCGTTGAGGCCATGAAGATTCAAAATATGAAATTGGGGAATCGCCACATCCCGGGTTACAACAACATTCTCAAGGCGAAAATCTTGAAGAGCAAAAGCACTTCCCATTTCAAAAAATCTTTCAGCACCAAACGCAAAAATTTGATACGTAAATTTTCTAACGATTTACTAGACTCCATAACGGATTCGTTGTCTTCCCCTCAACACCCCGCATCTTCTTCTAACAAGAACAGACGCGCGATGCAAAAAACTTCCAAGTATTGGAAGGAGAGGATAGATACGGCGTCGTCGGTGATCGATAAGTTCAGAGATAGCAATAAAAAAAAACGAGTGAGGGCTCTGGGAGGTAAAAACGTTCTTACATCCAGTAGGGATAGTAGGCTGAACGGTCAATCGTCACCCTCGAGGAGTAGGTTAGGAAGTAGTTCAATGATCATTCATTCGGGGTCTTCCATCTTCCAACAACCGCTAAAAGAAGAAACAGAACGGGATCACGGAGGAGAAGCGGAAGATAAAGGAGGCGGAATTAAGATGAAGAACGGTTTAGCATCTACCGATAATCCTTCCTATCGTAAGCGACGCCAGGGCTGGTTCTAAAAGGAAAAAAATAGTCGCGGGAGACGTCGTCAGGAAAAAGGGAATACTAGCGGGACCGAAAAAGGCGCTAGTGATCCAAAACGAAATCTTTACGATAACCGCCCAACCTAACCCCGAAAGGGATGCCAAACTAATTTACGTGATCAAACCGAGATTCGTTACCTCGTTTTCGTTAGACGAACCCGAAAAAGCTTATAAGACGTATCTCCCTCGTAACATAACCATTAACTTCGATAACGGGGATATCAGCATTTGAACGAACGTGCTAAACACGAAATCCACACAATTTATTATGCAATTAAATTTCTTTCTTATTTATTTTTAAAAAGAAACCAATATTTCATAATTGAATAGGATATAAAAAATGGGTGTATATTATAATATATATATATATATTATAATACTAATTAATGATTATTTATTTTTTGAGCTCAAAATTTTTCGAAGTTGTTTTCATTATATTTTTAATTTTTCGATCATTTCTAAAATCTATTTTTTAAAGTAGGTATCCAACAAGAAAACTTTAAACTAGTTGTTGTTAAACGGCTAACTCGATATTTTATCCAGAATAATATTATGCAAGCTTAAAGGTTTTGCTCATAGAATGGCACATAGGATTGATCATCTATTTGGCGAGATCTCGGCGCTTAGGCCAGAATTTTCTTGGCTGTAATGTTGAGTGTAGCAGTTTTTAAAAATCTCGCTCAAAAATAGAGCCGTTCAACAAGTCAACTTTGACCAGTTGCGTTTAAAAAAAAAGAAAGAAAGAAAATAGATTTTAAAAAAACTAACGAAAAGTTAGAAATTATGAAAAAATGAACAGATTTGGACATTGCTTCCTGGGGAAGAAAATATAAATTATTTCGAGTGATAAAAATTTAAATTATTTAAATTTTAATTTTTTTTTAAAAAAAAAGGGGAAAAAGATTTGTTTTCTTGCCAAGTTTTTTTTATTTTTTGATTATAAAAATATAAAAATTAATGATTTTTAGTTTATAAATGAGAGAATTTAAATATTTTTTTTAGCGAGTGGTATTTCGTGCCTATCTTTTAAGTTTTTAGAATATCGGCATAATAGTTTATAAAATTATCTTTTATTGATGCTAAAAAATTTTTTTTGTTCACGCGTATAATAATGCGCACAAAATTGAAAGTTTCAACGCGGACGTAAAGGCAGCTATGTTTAAATTGAACCGTTAATTTTTATTAATTTTAATATGAAAAGTCTAAATTTAAAAGAAAAAAGAAAAGTGTTTTCCAATTTAAACCAAGGCATTCATTTAAAATGCATCATTTGCGTTTTGAAACGCTGCGTCGAAACGCTCAATTTGTGTGCGCACTATAAACTTACGATTCAATAATCGGCGACAAACATGCGTGCTAAACTAGCGGAAAAGGAATTTGTCATTACAAAATTGGTCATATTTTTGTCAAGTGTCATCATCCCAACTAGTCCATAAAACAGACCTCGGCTCAAATAATAATAAACTCGATTTTTGTTAGACGAATAAACTACATTGCTAAAAAAAAAGACATCATATTTTAAAATTTAAGAGTTAATTATAAATTTAGGGAAATTTATAGACATATAAGACATATATATTATTCAAGATACTTTAAAAGTAGCGAATTATTTTTGTCGTTATCACATTTAAAAATGGAAGAAAAACATGAAAAGTGTGTATTAATGTTAATAATAATTACTTTTGTCAAAAAAAAGAGTGAAAACATCTAAATTATTCTTGAAGAGCACTAATTGCTAGTATTTTTGTGGCTATTCCGCCCCTAAATTTAAAAAAAAATATGCTAACCAGAAGCTTAGTATGGAAATTTGTTGGTGTAAATAATTTTTAATAAATATTACCAAGTAGAAGTTACAAGGAGACCATCTATTTTCCACCTTATCAAAAAGTGGTATTACTCTGACTTTTCTTACCCTTACCAGCTGATTAAATAAGAAAATATATGGAATGTATTTTGAATATTATATATTTTTTTAAAATATTTTTATTTTCCCAGCTCTATCAACTAAATTCTATAAGAAATTCAACTTATATTTAAAACAAAATTCTCAGAAGCTTCTAGTTATGGGTTTGTAAACTACTACATGAACCATGAACGTTTTTTAGTGGTAGTTCTTATCATTTGACAATTTAACATGCTTAATATATTTAAATAGAATTATAAATAATTTTTATAATAAAATGGATTCTTCATGGGATTGGCTGATGGTGGAGTGGGTGGAGGTTGTTGTTGGTGTAACATCATAAGACGAGCTCGCATCATTAAAGGGTAGAATGATGGCTGATGTTGTGTCATATTCCATGTATGGATTAAAAGGAGGAGGTCTTAGAAATGCTTGGATCTTGTTCTTATTTAGGATTCTAAATAATTTATGTAATCCTATTTAAATATATTAAATACACCTAAAAAGTCTGTATAGTATTGTTTTAAATCATCTAACTTTGGCCGCTAGCTAATTTGCATTTAAATTTAAAAAAAATTGTCTCTTTTTTCAAAATTAAAGCTAAAAGTTTTATTTTCTGGTATTATAATTAGCTAAGTCAGATGATTTAGCAACGTTAGTTTCGATAATTAATTAGATTTAAAGTTTTTCAGAAAACACTACTTCAATCTGATGATAGATTCAATGGAATGTGAATGGCTAAGAAGTATTATATTTCAAAATTTCTTCGAACGAAACATTATACAATCAAATTGATTGTCCTATATCTAACCCAATCAGCAGATTTAAAAGGTTAGGTTGGTAAATATTGTTTAAATTATTTGAATAACAAGTCAGCAGTGGCAAGATTTCATGTATACTAGAGGTCTGCAATGGGAGAATTCTTAGCCCATAAGCTAAGAGTCGCTCATTCTACTCGCGAGGGTTAGAGGGTGGGATATTTAATTTTAATGGGCGGATGAGCTGGCGGGTCAAAATATTTGGCAGGCGATGAGCATGCGAATTTCAAATATTTGGAAAGGAGAGCGGAACAGATTTCAATTTATTAAAAATCATTTTATTTTAGTTTTATATAAAATTAATCAGCTAGACGGTTGGGTATGGGACTAAATATTTTATAACAATGGTCGCGCTAGCTTTTGGGCTAAACCCCACCCATCGCAGACCTCATAATTACATTCGCTCCTATAATTTACTAGTGTGGTTAAATTATCTAACTTTAAGCCATATTTATATCCAAAATATATATTTCAAACTTCAAGTTGAGATACTCGAGTATTGTTATAACGCTTGACAAAGGGACAATGGAGATAGTCAAATGTTAGTTGTTTCCACAACACTATAATTAACATATTCTAGAGTTTAATAAAACCATCTCCAGGAGGGGTTAGGGACTTGTTATCTTGTCAACAGTTCTAGGTGTTTCAAGAAAAATTGCTTTATTTGGGACTTCATCATTTTTAATTCAAATAACGGAATCAATATTTTTTAGGCCCCGAATTCCCGCCATCTGTGAATGAAAGGTAGTTTATGCTTAATACAGCGTCCAATTGTTGGGATCAAATTGGCAACTTAATAATTTTATATGAAATTTCTGGACACCATCTTATTAGATCTATAAATATTATCATATGTTATATCTTTAATGTTGCCTTCTTTCTTTCTTTCTTTTTTAAAAAAAAAATGAAGGTTATTCTTTTTTAAAATTAATAGTATCTTATATCTTTTTTTAGAAATAAAAAAATAGCGGTGTGTTCAAAAATGTCATATTTCTAGGCTAAATATAATATGTAAAATTTATATCTAATAAGACTAAAAGAGTTTCCTAGTAACTATAGTAACTATTTCTAAACGCAAAGCCCTATTCATAGTAACTCCCTCTTCCCTCCCATTACCTTAATCATGGTGATTAATTTTAATAGTATTTTTAAAGGAATATATTTTTTAATAGCTAACATTTAATAACTTTATTGAAATATTCTCCTCTCCACCTCAATTGGACAAGCGTAAAATAATTAGTAAAAATAAAAATTAAAATAAATCTTCAATCGAATATACAGAGACGATAAATATTTAAAGATCATTTTTCCCTCCATTTCTAAAAAGATATAACGAAATTATATTTTATTCGCATCACGTATAAGCGATTTTAGTCGCCTCTCATTCTTCCCTTCTTCTAAATCGCTAAAAACGAGTTGCGTCTACGCATTGTTTTTTTTCCCCGGAAATAACCTATCTTTTCAAACTTTAAAATCATTTGCGCGTCTTCTCTTCTCTTCTCTTCTCTTCTCTTCTCTTCTCTTCTCTTCTCTATCTTAAGAAAGAAAAAAATCGATAAATATATGAAGGAGGGCTCAAAGTTTTGTTCACGGAGCAAAAAAATTCTACGGACAACTGGAATATATTGGTGGCCAAATTAGATTTCCTAGTGTTGTAAGACTGCTCGTTTTGAGCCTATTTTTTAAAAATGGCTAACTCAACATTTCATCTAGAAAAATATTACGCAACCCTGAAGATTTTGCTTCCTAGAAGGAACAAAGATTTAAACATATATTATCGAAATCTCGAAACTTAGGGCAATTTCTGGCTAAAATATTCAGTTAGCCGTTTTGAAAAATCGGCTCAAAACGAGCCGGTTAACAACACTGAGAGTTCCTTTAATAAAATTTTTTAAATAAAAGATATTAAAATTTTAGCAGATTTAACGAATTTTTTAAATTTGATATTTTTTTTTAACTGTCCGAGTTTGTTTAGTGACAATAAATAAACTAAATGTAAGACATAAATTTTTTTCCCAAATATATTGGAACAATAATGATAACTTACTTCATTCTTTTTTAGAAAATATTTTTAAAATTTGGTTTTATTGATGTTACAGATAGATAAACGCTTTCTAAAAAAAGTAATCGCATAAATCACAATTTACAAGGCCAATTTTAAAAAATAAAATGTTATATATGTCTTATCTTTCCTAAAATTATCAATATATTTCCAAGACTTACATAGACACATCAATATTTAAATAACACCTTAAAATAAACGAAAACTGTTTTTTTTAATTTATTACAGTGCAAAGTATATTATGTACTTTTCTATAATTAATCATTGTAAATGTAAGTATGTCAGTGAAAAATAATAATATTTTTAAATAGTAAACTTAGATAACTTTTTTATTTAGTGTATCGGTATAAATTAATTAAATAAACATTTAAAAAGTATCTTTTTCAACATCTCCTTTATGCTAAGTATATATCAACTCAAATATAAGTAGACCATCTATTATTCAGACCAAGATAGTAAAAATTAGTGTTATTAAATTACCAACTTTGACCATCTCTATTGTGAGTGACAGTTCAATCTTTTAGCCTAAAAAATTGAATTAAGCTTCTAAATTGAGTCTCAACTTGAAGATTGATTGGAATATGGTTATAAACATGGCTACGTTGTTTTATAGATGACTAAAATTAGGTAGTTAAAAAAATAATTCAACAGCATTTACATATATATACATTCCTATTTTTATTTTATATTTTTAAACTTAATTATTTAATTTTAATCCATTTTTGTTTGCCAAAGAGAAAAACGTTACATATTTATAAATAATTACTAATTATCCTACATTTCACCTTTGTTTTAATTTTTTTTATCAAATTATTTACCAATTTAAAAATAAAATTACTTTTTATAAAAATAAAATTTATATAATTATCATCATCTTTAATTCCTGTCACTAATTTAGATATGCAAGGAAAATGTGGAAGAATGATAAGCATTTTAGCATTGTTCTATACCATTTTCATGATAGGAATGGAAATGGCGGTGCCAGAGAATAAAACAAAATCGACTTCAAAAGGTTAATCTTAAAATAAAAATTTTTTTTTTTATCTTATTATTTTTTTTTGTTTTAAAAATGCTAAATTATTATTATCCTCTCTTTTGAGCTTTCAGATTGTATATGACATTTACAGGACTTTTTTTTTGCGTAAAAACAATTTAATAAGTTGAGTTTATTGGAGAAATTTTTGTGAAAATAAATAATCATAATAATTTATCGCGATTAACTTCTAATAAATAAATATGTAAGTGTTGTTAAACGTCTGGCTTTGAGCCGGTTTTTAAAAACGGCTATCTTAATATTTTAGCCAGAAAAATATTGCTTGAGCCTCGAGATTTCCATAATATATGTATTATAGATCTGCAAAGTTAGACCCGGCCAGTACCCGGTCCGAGTCCGGCCCGAACGGGCTTCGGGCCTGGTTTGGGTCTAATTCTATTTAAAATAATCGGGTTCGGGCCGGGCCGGCTAAAACTTTTTTAAAAAAATCGGACCAGGTCGGGCTTGAAAAATTAGGACCGATGCAGGGCACCAATATGTATAAAACTTTGTTCCTTCTATGAACTAAATCTTCAGGCTTTGCGTAATTTTTTTTTTGGATGAAGTATTGATATAGCGACTCAAAAAAGAGCCTTTTAAGCGACACTACTATATATGCCAGAAGTTTTTAATAACCAATACAAAATTCTAATATGGGAAAAATAATGAAATAAGATTTAAATAATATTAACGTACACTAAAAAAAATACATAAAACAATGATACAATTTTTGTAAAGGGGTCTTTTATTGAGAAAAAATATTATCCTATCAGAAAAACAACCAATAAAATATTGTATATTTTATCCCACGTGATATATAAATTTAAGAAATAGAATACATAAGGCTACCGCCATCGTTAACTACCAATATAACAAAATGTCGCCCAATGTGCCGAAAATTTTGCCCGCATGGATACGTGACAGATTCCGATGGCTGTCCTTCTTGCGAATGCCGACCTGATCCTGCTGACTGCCCGGGTTCTTGCTTGCTATTTTGCACCTACGGAAACGAATTGGACAAATATGGGTGCCCTGCGTGCACATGCAAATCTGAACCGGATGCCAAAGTTTTTCAAAATATTTAAACTCTTCGATATCTTGATTAAAACACACCCTTTTAATAACCATTGATTAATAAGGTGATTCCTAATATTTGAACAATCTGAAACACCATAAAGACACGTGACTTGATATAGAAAAAAAAAGAAGAAGCAATTTTTTTTTGATCATTCCTGATCATCATGATGTGGTAAGACGCTATATCGACATTGAGATAGAAAGGAAAGAGTAGAGGGTTTTAAAGAGGCTATCATTCAGAGTAAAATGGGAAGTGAGTTAATATATGGTTAAAGGATAATATTGGCTTTAAAGATAAAGGTGGGAGGGTGTGGGTAGATAAAATTTTTATAAAGGATCATTCAATAAAATAGAATCAAATTTAGGGACCCCGCTATCGGCATGGATGCTGATGTCGACGATTCCACATGCTTGGGTCTTAGGTAGTCAAAGAAGAATATACATTTACACAGGAAGTTGTAGTAAGGAAGGCTAAGATAATAAGGATTTATTATCCCTGAACCCTCAACTTCAGAATATCCTTAATTCCGTTCATGATGATAGTTTGGAGGTTGAGATTCAGGGATTAATATATTTTACAGGTATTTGAGGGACTCAAAATATTAATCAAATTAGGGAGATTCATCTAATTTATCAATTGTCCATATTAGACCTGTTTTACTGTATTTATTTATTTAATTTTTAATTTTTTTAATATTAAAAGGATGATAAAGATGGTGTTAATAAAATGGTGAACAAAATAAAGGTCTTGTCTGCCACGCAGTGAAATTTGAAAAAAAACCTCAAAACCGCCGAATTAATGAAACAAAATATTTATATTTGTGATTCTTTACCATGATTAAATAAAGATAATTTTTCTTAGAAAAAACAATTTAAATATTGTTGGTAACCAGGGTTGGAAGAAATGGAGAAACATACCAGGGTGATTTTTTAGATACCACTATGACTTAAAAATAGGGCCTAACTATTGACAGATCGGTCTTAGGCGTAAAACTTTGGCATTTCGAGCTCCTGAAAATATGTTGGATACATCCGAAATGCAAATAATTCTTGGAGCAGGCTGTATCTTATGACCAATGATAAATAACATTAGTCGGAAAAGTAAGGTAGTAGACCAAAATTCTATGGACATGTGTTGAGAACTCAGACTCAACTAAAGTAAATCGACAAGTTCCCGATATTGAATTTATGGGCTTGTTGGATAAGAAAATTGTAGTAGATGTAGCCCAAAGTCAAAGACATATGGAGGAAGGCGCGTTAAGAGAAGATTGTTTTATTTTTTGTCTAATTTATTTTAATTCAAAAACTAATTTTTTTTTCTTCTTCTTTAAACTTACAAAATATACAATAATTATTTTAGTAAATATAGACCCGTCCTGATCAATTCTCCCATAAAATATTTTAAATTTACCCGCGTGTAGTTTTAAAAATCTTCAGCCCCAAATGATTAATAATTTTTTTTAACTAGCATTATTGAAGATCTTCATTGTAGAATATATGGTAGACCGGGGCGAAACAAAAGTGACAAAAAATATTTATCTCTATTTTCGATAATTTGTAATTGTGTGTTTATTTTAAACTCTATATTTCAGAAAATATTTTTCTTCAAGATTTTTTATTTCGTTTACATTCCTCAAAATTATACTTTTAATTAAAAGAAAAACCCAAACTTTTTCTTCTAATTAAATATGGATTTTGTTTTTCTCATATTTATAGAATTTACTTAAGACCAATAATTATGTTGTTAAACGGCTAGTTTTAAGCCGATTTTTCAAAACGGCTAACCCAGAAAAATATTGCTTGAGCCTAGAGATTTTGATAATATATGTCTAAACCTTTGTTCCTTCTAAGAGCAAATTCTTCAGGCGTGCCGAATATTTTTTACCTAATAATATAGTTATCTTTTTATTTGGATTATAATGGATTTACTCATATTTATAATGTAGTATAGATAAATTAGTATTTTTAGAAAAAAATATTATATAAGCTAAATTTCTTTAGGGCCCCATTTCATTAGGTAAAGATAACTCCATATACCCTTTCCATAAAAAATCCTTAAACACGATAAAATGTTGAAGTTCAAATTGGTACGATGAAAAAAATACCGCAGTAAAATAACCCACGTATTTCTTATTTTCTTAAGGATTATTTGTTATAGCAATAAATACAATATCCATCCTTAATTGCGAAATTAAGTAGACTCAATTTGACAAAATTTGGATAATTAAAATATATTTATTTTATTGATGAATCATGATGATTATATGTATATACAAATTTAATAATTTTAGAATAGTAATTTTATTGATTGACATCGAATATTGGAGGAAAATCGCTCTTATAAAATCTGGAAGGCTTAGCAGCCCATCACGGTATTCCTCGCGATGTTTCTTTAACCGAATCTGAGTATTATAACTCTGCAAATTTTTTTTTGGTGTCCAACTATATACACGTCATCGTTCAAGTTTAGTTTTTCATCGGTAGCCAGCTCGCATTCCATTTTTTTTTAAAATCAATACCCAGATTGATGGGTGTTTATTCCCAACCAGATTAGAAAAAAACGATGATTCCAACCTTCGCACTGATTATTTGTGCGTTCTTCGTCGCGGATAGAGTGCTCTGATTCACGTTCCAGGTTTCTGGAGGAAATCGAGGCTCAATTCGATGTGCTTAGAATTGAGAATTGCTTCTTGTGACAAATTCTATAAATATGGAGAAAAAAAAAATCCGGGGGTTTATTTTTCGGGAGTTTTTTTTTTCCTGGGGGTTTTTTTTCCGGAGATTTTTTTTCTCACGAAAAACGTATCATAATATATCTAATTTTAATATTTATTTTGTCAAGATATTCCTACTATGTCATTTTATTGACAATTTGATAATTAAAAAAATATTAAATCTACAAAGAAAAGGTATTATTTATTATTAAATGTAATAATAAATATAATTTATATAATTCTGTAATCAAACTTTTATATAAGGTATTTCTAGTAAACTAATAAATTTAGACATACGTCCGAAAAAAAAATGTAATGCAAATGCTTATTTGGATAGTCCAATATACCCCTAGTTTATATTACATACCCCGACTTGTTAAGACGTGCTCACTTGTTTTTGTTTGGTTACTCAAAAATTCAAATTAAGTCCTAATTCTTTGTTATTGCATAGATAAAACAGTTACTGTTAGAAATATTGCTCGATATCTTATCAATGTTTTCCGGGGTTTCGTGAACCTAAACATCAAAATGGGTTCTATTTGTCTCTGGTCTTCCATATCTACTTTATCAATTTTTAGAGAATTATATCTACGAAACTGTGTTTTCTTTTTTTAAAGTTTCAATAAAAACTCCTGGACTCTAAAAGCGTCCATGTAATACGCTGAACTACATTAAAATTTGAAAACCGTTCTCTGTAATGATTTAAAATTTATAGATTCCGAATATCCAATAGGTGGATTGCGTATCCCAAATTACGACATATATAAATATTTTTTAAAAAAAAATAAAAATAATTATAGGTTAATTTGTCATTTTATTTTCCTTTCACGTTTTTATTCCAAACATTGCATTTTAAAAATGGTAATAAACATGCAAATTGCCATTGCTCACTTTTGTAATATCGCGCACAAATTTAGCCTTTCAAAAACGCAAATAATACATTTTAAATGCGTTTTTCTTTTAAATTTAGACGTTTCATATTAAATAAAAATTTATGGTTTTAATTTGAACATAGCAGAATTTACGTTTTTTTTTATTGTTTTTTAAAACGCTGCGTTGAAACGTTCAATTTTTGCGCACTTATAAACACTATTAGGCAATGCACGTTGACTATTTCACGTACTTTTGCATTTTAAAACTTTTCATCCTTTGCTTGCTAGTTGTCATATAGTTCCAGAGTTGTTAAAGTGTTTAGATGATGTGGTATCTGTATCTAGATAACTTTTTAGACCACGTATCTGTATACAGATGCATTTAAAAAGTATCTTTTAACAACTCTGTATATTTTCCAATGATTACCAATATTAAAAGCCCGCTATATATGCGAATGGGATTATAATATCTAGCATTATTTACAACTATATAAACAAAAACAATTATATCGGGAACTGGAAGTTTTTTCACATATGTGTTTATTTTTTAATTGTGTATTATAAAAATAATTATTTATGCCTCCAAAATTTTTGTGTAATTTTACTAAGTTAAATGTCATCGATAATTTTATTACAATTATTAACTTATAGTTATAATAACGATAAAAAAAATTTTCCCCAACCCATTAATATAATTTTATTTTTCTTCTTCTTCATATATATTATAATTTACATTTTAAGGTATAACATCTTTTATATCTCAAAAGTTTAAGTACAATTTTCTTCTATTAATTTCATATTTTATTTTATTATATTTTATTTTTTATAAAAAAAACAAAATACTTATAATTGAATGGTAATCACCCGCCAAAAAAAAAGGTGAAAATTATCACTTTCTAATTTATTTTTTATTTTAAAGAAAATATATAATATTATAGATTACGCGCGTAATAAGTGTATTTAAAAAAAATTACCAAATAATAATTAAGATCCTCATAGTTTGAAAACAGGAATCATAACCTAGAAATTCGCCATTTTGTTCCCCTCCTTTTATTTTATATTGCGAGCTAGTGGGAATGTGTGGCATATATAGCAGGCAATGACGAAAACTTGGTAAGGGTAAATTCCTATCCCCCCCCCCAAAAAAAAATATAAATCATGAACGGGGATATAAGAATATCATTCTACTCGTCATATATTCACATAACTTTTCTGTAAATCATAACCCAAACCAATTGAGTTATAATACATTAAATTTGTTGGGGGGGATTTTATCATCCTTGTCAACCTCTCTAAATAAATGACGGGAGTCAAATGTCATATTATTTATTTTCTATACTCGTTCACTAAAATATATTAGTCTCGAAATTTGAAAAAAAAAAACAACTGAATAAATCTAGAAGATGCATAAATAAAATATGATATCGCATCTTCTAACTAGTCATCTGCATTGGGCCCGTCAAGCACAGGTTCTCGGATTCGGAGCGGATACATGTCGAGCCTACTTTTGCAGATCTCTACTTCTAACATATACAGTATCTACATGAGCGGGGGGGGGCGTACAGTTTGCATCCTAATATCTATAAAGGGGTAAGGGGTAGGCATTTTGAGGGGTAGGCTAGAATAATCTAGAAAATTTTCCATTACATTTTTAAATTATCTATGGATAACATTTTGGTATTTTTAGGGGGGTAGATATATATTTTTGAGGGGGGTTTGCATCCAGCGAATATACTGTCATGTAGACGCTGAACATGTACCACTTTTAAGGTAAGAATTTAATAAAAGTGTTTTTTTTTTTTTTTAAAATAGCATTAAGCCCCCTAGAACAAGAACTTTAGAAAAATTATTGAATTCTAATAATAATGAACTAAATATCATATTATTATATGCGAAAAATAAATTGAAAACATTATAATCCTCTTTGTTAAATTGTTTTTGTTTCTCTCGTTTATTAAGCTTAATACGACTAAAATGTATAATAAATATGTTCTAAAATTAGCCAGGTCGATTCGAGTTATCTGATATATTTAAAAAAAGTTTAATACCCTAAACTTGACAAGGAATTTGAAATTTAATTGTTCTCAAAATTTTATTTATAACAACTGGATTTTTTTACAACTATATTTCTAAAACAGGGTCATTACCAGTTTAACTCGACATAAAAATTTAACAACATTATTGTAATCATAATAATTTTTAATTT